CCCCGCCCGGGTTTCAGGACGTCCCAGAGCTGAGAGCTAGGCCGCAGGGCTTCATCCATAACAGGTGTTTGGACTGATGGACAAAACTCGGATCACCTCTCACCCGCCACTACAGCCTCAGGACCCTTAACTTCTGATTCATTATATTTACACGTTTTGAGTCCCAACTATGCGCCAGACTCTCATTCCAGCACTGCTAAGAGATACAGAAGGCTCCTGTAATATAGCAGCAGGGATAGAAAAATGTAGCCCATTAAATATGTGACCAAGAGCAGCTTTACTATACAAAATCAAGTGCAATGTACCACGCTGTTCATAAGGTAGTTGTGGGGTTCATTTCAAAGCCCAAGGAGTGGGGCGAGAGCCGGACAGTCTGGAGACCCTGGTCTTTAGGTCCTGTTGGGATCTCTGAGTTGTCTTGAGACAGGCCCTCGGGAATGCCAGGCCTTTTCTGCTCTATCTTTGGTCCTCATGGCCAACCTGAGATACCTGTCCTGGGTTGTTTTTTCGTTTGGTTGCTTTTGTTTTTTGTTTTTGTTTTGTTTTGTTTTGTTTTGCTGAAACTGCAGCTCAGAGGGATCGCCAGTGATCGTGCTGTCAACATGATATCAGAGCGACTATTCCAGGCGGCAGTGGAGCTGAGTGCTGTGCGCTGAACACATTGCCTCGGGGACTCTTGTTAAAGTGGCACAGTTCATCAGTCACCCCATTTCTAGCAACCTCCCCACCCCGACTCCATCTTCTTTTTTTAATTAAAAAGTATATATTTTGTCATTTACACTTAATGGCTGTATATCTTTACAATGGATGACATGGTTTTTCCCAGCACGAACACAGTGCACATTAGCCAGATCAAAGACACTACCATACACATTATCACCAATAGATAACTTTCACTTACGTGTCTATTAAATGTTTTGTTTTTCTCTGACCCTCTCCCTCTCCCTCCCACCCCCATACCCACCTACTATTACCCCCCACTCCTATGCTGTCTCTACTAGCTACAGCCACTCTCCCTGCTATTACACCTTCCCATCTCTCCGTTTCTGCTGTAAAGTGCAAATATTTGATATATATTAAATAGGAGCGTACAACGACTGTTTCACAGTCTGGCTTGTTTCATATAGCATTTAATTTTCCGTATTCACCACTTTGTGTCAACTGTCAGGGTCTCATTGCTTTTTTTTTCCTTTGGAGAGGTTTTTACTACAGGGCACGTGCGCTCACCAGAAAGACAGAGAGAAACAGAGAGACAGAAAGTGAGAAATCACCACCCAAGGGGATGGCCTTGCCGCAATCCCTTCTCCTCCATTCTCCTCTCGGGATCTTGGGCATGCACGCACACGTACCTGACATGAATTTAAGTCACTGGGTCCAGGACTCGAACCACGGCCGACTACACAGGAGTCCAGCGACACAGCCATTACACTAACTGCTGGTTCCATGGTCTCATTGCTTTTCATGGCTGAGTAGTATTCCTTAGAGTGCATGCACCACATTTGTTCAATCCACTCTTTGGTTCTTGGACTCTTGGGTTGCTCCCATGTCCTAGCTGTGTGAATAATGGCGCAGTAAACATGATGTGCAAGCATTTCTCCAACCGAGGGTTTCCCTATCCTTTGGGTAGATTCCCAGGAGTGGAATTACTACCCACCTCATCTTCTGACACCAACCTGTGAGGTTCACGAGGAAGGGAGGAAACCTGCTCTGCCCAGGTTCAGTGTGGGGCACTTTCACAGACTGAACTTTTTCATCTCACCTCTAATGACCCGGAGAGGCAGGCATCACTGGCTCCTTTTTTTTGTTAAGAAAATTGAAGATCAGACATAATTATTTGCCCAAAATTACATCCACCCTCTTTCTTCCCCATCTAATGCACTAATTATAGAAAATTTGATGAATTAGATGGTGAAGACAGTGTGGAACAGGGTGGTAGAAGGGAAGAGTATAGAGAAGAAGAGCAAGAGAGCAAGTAGAAAGGACATTTGTGGATCACAGAAATGGTTTATTACCTGTTGATGATAACATGTGAGTATTCTCAACTGGACTGGTCTGAGAAGTATTGCATGTTGGGTACGTTCTTTATGCAAGCCAAATGATATATAGTGATTTAATGTTAAAAAAATAATGAGAATAAATAATAATCATAATAATCTGTAAAAAATAATGAAAAGTTATTTGATGATAATGATGTGGATAGTAATGTTTTTGTCTTGACTAATATGCATGATGATCGTGCTGGAAAAAGAAATGTAATACACTGTAAAGATCATGTGATTCAGAGTAATATAAAAAAGATTATGATAATAAAGAAAATTTGATGAATTACAAGAAGTAAAAAGGAGGGGGAAAAAATCACTCAGAGACTACCACTGTTCACATTTTGGAACCTATACATGTTTTTAAAGTTTATGTATTCATGAGAGAGAAAAAGAATGCAGCCCCAACAGGGTCTTGATGGCTTGATGCGCCTCAGCCTTCAAGGAGCCCGGGTCCTATGCACACTGCATGCTGGGCTTACGTGACTGAATGGGGCTTATCTTGCAGAGCATTGCATTTCACTGCTGAA